ACTCAAGATAAATGTTTGGGATATGTGCGTTTAACAAATTAGAGTATCTGTGTGTCACGGTATCACAAACGTCAAAAAAAAAAAAGTCAAATCGATGGAAAATAGTCATTGGCATTTATGAAGTTAGCAAAGTGGCGACATACGCGGTCTTGCACTTATGTTGGAGAATTCTTTTATGCCCAAAATAAAAATAGGGTGTGAAAAATGTTCCTTTGGTGCTAACAATGCGAACTTATTTGCTGCCATAGAGGCGAGACAAAGTCACTTCGAGGAGTTGTGGTGGGTCACTGTTTAGCCACATTAAGCTAACCCAATCGCGACGTGTGCGGCACGAGTTAGCTTAGCGCCTAGCATTGCCCCAGTAGTGTCCTGGCAGTGAGCAAAACGGCGAGGATGGCTTACTGCACAACATGGATGCACCATTATTTGCTTTTGACCAGTTTAGCATGTTAAGTTAATGGCGCCGGCAGCTCCGTGTTAAGACGCGCTTGAAGCCGAGTTCATGCTGAGGCGGCCATCCTCAACACGTCGTTGGTCGGCGGAGTCCAAATTTATCATTCATAGGCCAAACTTACACTGCCCTGTCTTCCTCCATGTATTCCGCACAACCCATTTGCTATTTTTTTTTCTTTCCCTGATGTTCCTTTTAATGACACGAACCCGAACTTCAACAGATGGCAATTAGAACAAGCACAAGTCAAGACTTTTTATGACCATTTTTGCGAGATCTTAAAACAGGCGCCCAAGATGAAAGATGAGGATGAAAGCCTTTTTTTGTTTTTTTTTTTCTTTTCCTCTCCGAGTTACATACGAGTGAGCCTACAAATGATCAGAATATAGAGAAGAGACACTGCGGAGTCACACGCACGCAGTCACCCCCCCCCCCCCGACCCCCACCCCACACACACAGAGTGCCACATCCTCTGTTACTGGGCTATTTTCTTCCCTGGTGTTTAGGGGTTATTCTCGGACTAGTGTTTGTGCATGTGACCCAAGTTGCTGCCCCCCTCGGCGAAACATCCGTCTGGCTTGTCATCTCAAGTTATGTGTCATATGCAATACATGCGCGTGTGTGTGCGTGCGCGTGCGCGTGCACGCGCGTTCATCCCATAGAGAGCGGGCCACGTTGACACCTTCTGCTTCGTATCACACTTAAGCGTCTCCCCTCTTGTCCTTTGACAGCCCCTCAAGGGCATTCCTCATCTTTCTCTTCGGAAAACAATTTCAAGCGCATGGTAACGATGGATTCATGACAAATTTTGAGCTTCTTGGCTAAGATTTTAAAACGTAACGATTCGGTTTGAGTCAGTTGGGATTCCGATTCCATTCGGCTCAGTTTGAGAGGGAATGAGTTTCGTGTGGACGTTTGACATACGTGGCCATCTGAAGGAACCTGTGCTGGAAGTGTGACATTTTTCCAAATCTCATCTCATCCTGACAAATCAAGTCAAGTGAATCAAGGTCGAATACACAAGGTTAGACCTTACCCCGCAGTGGATGTCATGAGATGACATCAGCGTTCCCACCGAATTGTCCCGTGATGGCAGCATTGCTGTGTGATGATCCAATCGTACGTGGCCGAAAGGTTTGGCGCCGTCGAGGTGATGGAGCCCTTCGAGAGTCCCAAATTTAGATTCTCGGTGAGGGAGGATTTGGTTGGAAGGGCTTGGTGGGGTGGGGTGGGGGGGCGTCAGTGCCCATGGTTATCGAGAACACGACGGCTCTCCTCACCATCTCCCCGTGACAACGTGCGGCGGCGACAAGGGGTTTGCGGTTAGAAACCCTAATCTGCTCCTCATATGACCCTCTGATGGACAGTAACAGCAGTCCATACAAACACACCAACACACACTCCTCTGTGTCTCGCTTCACTGGTGCAGTCTAAACATGCGCTTATATGGATTCCAAATCATTTCTGCTACCGTAAACACATTCTGGACACGGACAAGTCGTCGTCAGTACAGCCTGAAGAAAAGAAGAGGATTTTCTTTTTTTCCGTCAAATGCCGCGCCGACGCGGCGTGCCGTTTACACCGCGTGTCACTCTCGAGGCGGCTTTAAGAGGCGACTTGTGGATGGCCTCGCGACTGACGGTGATTATGCCAGTCAATCGGATTTTGAGAAACCCGTCTTAATTTCCATGACTTTATTCAAAAATGACATGATTTTCCAATGGACTTCAATGAATGACGATTCGGTTACTGGTTTGGTCTGTAACATGTCAGAAAATCTGCAAAAATGTTGATAAATTGTTTTCCAAGGTCAAAGCATCTGTTTTATTTTGATTCAACACAAAGTAAATCATTCGAAAATTCCGAACATTCGTACAAATTGCAAATAAAAAAGGTCTCCAAATGATTAATTGATTATCAAAGGTAATTATCAATTGATTTGATAAGCAAATATATATATATATATATATATATATATATATATATATATA